TGACCACATAGATAGATTTTCTCCATGATGATCTATCCCTAACCTGTTCTTTCAAGTCTCCCAACAGTGCACTCATTGCCACTGTAACTAACTCCATTCATCTTGCTGCTGGTCATCCTCTTCTCTTTCCTTCCACCTTTCCCAGCATTAGAGCCTTTTCCAGAGAGCTGGGTCTTTGCATGATGTTTCCAAAGTAGGATAATTTGAGCCTGGTCGTGTGTGCCTCAAGTGAGAACTGTGGGTTCATTTGTTCAATGAACCATCGGTTTGTTTTCTTGGCTGTCCATGGTATACTCAGGAGTCTTCTCCAACACCAAAGTTCAAAGGTGTCAATACTCTTCCTATCCTGCTTCTTTAAAGTCCAACATTCACTTCCATAGAGCGTCACAGGGAATACCATGGCTTACATGATTCTGATCTTTGTAGGTGTAGAAAATATAGAGTTACAAAATTACCTTACTCAAATTTCAAAGCCATTCATCCTCACTCACTCCAAGTATTGATAGATTTTTTTCTAGAACTTGCTTGAATGCAAATCAGGTGAGACTGATTCAAAAGAATATGTCCTTTACCTTGCAAATTTTATTCTGACTCTCAGAGAAGGCTAATTCAGCCTTTGTGAAAAAATTTCCAAGCCACCCAGATGGGTTTTGTATTCAATAAGTCTTAGCAGAGATTCCAAAGCTAGTTACTGAGTTGCAAAATTGTGGCATTCTTGTAATCTCTACAGGATTGATCAGAATCAGTCAAGTAATTTTTGAATTAAGTTTTTTTAAGTATAAGAATACTCACTTATTTTTATTACTATGTTTCTTTCTATTAACCTGGGTTTTCTATGACTATGCTTCAATTTGTATTTTGGTGTGAGACTGCAATAAAATGTTCCTAAGTTTTTCAAATCTATTTTTTTTAGTGTTTGTTTAAACTAACCCATCATTTTGTTTCCTTTGTTTCTACGATTATTGCTGGGCTATCCAGAGAGGACACCGTAGGCAGAGAAAGGAAGAAACTTTGGGAAGTCAATTCAACAGAAGTTACTTTCTCTGATAGGCATAAAATGAGACTTCCTTATAAATTATCTAGAGTAGCATATTTCCTGTATCTTGTATAATTCCCCACATCTTAATGCTTGGTTCAGCCGTAAACAGTAATATTTGCCCAGGAAAGAACAATTTGTGATGACTGTTAAACTGGATCCAAACAATTACTTCACAAAATTGGAGATCTTTTGCACCTACAAATGACAAAGACTTTTTTACTCTCCCTCCCTTCTGTCTATTAAGAGGCTGTGCACAAAAACCTATGAGATAAGTCAGAATGTCTTTTAACTATTCCATTCATCAAAAGCCAGAATAAAGCAGATGACTTCTCAAAGATGTTGACTGATACAATACAGGTAGTCCCTGGGTTAAGAACGCGCAGGTTATAGACAACTCATAGTTAAGAACGGAGCCTATTGTTGCAAAATTTGAGTTAAATACACAATGATTCAAATTAAATACACAACGGTTTGAGTTCATTACACAATACTACTTACACAGTATTATACAATAATACTGTTCTGGCTTACATATAAATT